ACTTTTTTTACACTAGCAAGATGGAAACCACAAAGGTGGTGTGTCTCACAACCAAAAGGAAAACTTCTTTACTTTTTCCATAGGTTATTTCTAAATCTAAAACCAAACCTATCCAAGACAAAAAACAGCAGCAAAAGGAAAAACAAAGACATTTACTCATCGTGACTACGTCAGTGTTTCAGATTGCAGAGCCACGTAGTAATCCAGGACGACATTTCATTTTGAAGGGGTAATGCCGCCCAAGAATAAATGTTCTTAGCATGCATATCAAATTGATTTCTCTCTTTTTATAAACACTATTCATGGTTCGGAAACATTCCTGTTTTATTTTGCTTTATATTTAGTCCTGAGTTTCTTATTCTGATATTTCCCCCAACTTGAAGTTCCTACCTTCCTTCTTTTCTTCCTCCCTTTTCTTGACATAATACTATTATGTCTTTGCCATATCACCAAAATTATCCAGTCTGTCTATAATTCTAGCTATCGGGGTGCATCTAGTTTATTTATTTATTTATTTATTTTTAAGATGGAGCCTCGCTCTTGTTGCCCTGGCTGGAGTGCAATGGTGCAATCTCGGCTCACCACAACCTCCACCTTCTGGATTCAAGCGATTCTCCTGTCCCAGCCTCCCGAGTAGCTGGGATTACAGGCACGCACCACCATGCCCAGCTAATTTTGTATTTTTACTCGAGACAGCGTTTCTCCGTGTCGGTCAGGCTGGTCTCGAACTCCCAACCTCAGGTGATCCACCTACCTCAGCCTCCCAAAGTGCTGGGATTACAGGCGTGAGCCACCACCCCCCGTCACATCTAGTTTCTTTACTGGAAAAAACCTTCCTGGAAACTCCCAAAGTCTTTTCTCCATTCCAGTCCACCTGCTGCCTGGCTTCCATCTTGGAACTTTACTAGTTTCTCTTCTACAAGAACCAAGCATAGAGTGACGGCCTAAGTGTCATATCTGTTTGGAGAACAGATAGACGTTCAATGAAGTTCTTTGCTCAGCCTCCCCTCTCACTGCCAACCTCTCTTCTCCCAGACCTCTAGTCTAGGGTGTGTCCTGAGCTCTTCCCAGGAGACTAATTCCCACACAATGCCATTTCTTCTTTAGCATATTCTGGGCTGGGGATTTTTCTGTTGTATCCATCCAGTTACTTCTTTCATCTGATTTTCATGTTCTTGCAATGTATTGAGACCCCTCAACCATTAACCACAGCCCCCCCACATCCATGGCCCTTCTTTCTGGTTGCAGTGAGCTGAGATTCTTCTTTTTTTCTCTTTTCTGTGAACAACAGGATCTTGCTATGATACCCAGGCAGCTCTCTGACTGCTGAGCTCATGCGATCTTCCCACTTCTGCCTCCCTAAGAGTTGGATATATACATTCTTTTAGTTTTATTTGGATTTCTCTGGGATCTCTGTAGCAGTGTTGGTGAAGATCAGTTCACTTCTACCACAGGGAGACAGTAGAAGCTGTTGGACCACTTTATGAAGACTTTATCACCTAGATTTGATCAATTATTGTTCATTTACTCTCTTGCTCCTCTCCCTTCCCTAGAGGGTAGGAATGGAACTGATAATTCCAAGGTTATAAGCATGGCTTGGTCTTTCTAGTGACCAGTCCCGATCCTAAAGCTCTCCAGAAGCCGACCAAGAGTTGGCTCATTAGAACCAAAGATGCTGTTATCACCCAAGAAATTTGAAGAGATTTAGGAACCCTGGGTAAGATGTTTCTATCACCCTCATCACTCAGGAAGTTACAAACATTTCTAGACTTCTGTTTCAGGAACCAGGGACAGAGATCATGGCTATGTTTCTTACTATGCCACAGCACTCACCATAGAATACTAGGCGTAGGAGGAGCAGGGAGGTAGGGAGCTTGACTGACAGGTGACGAGCTGGTTGGGGCCCACTGTTTTCATTGAGTGGGACTTCTCTTGCTGTTGGAGTCTTATCTCCAGCCCTCTGGCCAATTTCCTGTCACTTTGGTGGTGGAGCAGATGGAACATGAAGTGAGTAAAGGTTGGGGAACTCCTCCTGTCAGGATCCTTATTATTTGTTCTGTCTTCAGAGTTCCCATTCCGCGGACAATGGGAAACTGGTGAATAATAAAAACCATGCCTGCTTTTCGGAAATAGAGTTAAATATTTGTATTAATTAAATGTCACTCAGATACACTTGGAAAATGTGAGCGGCTTGGTGGCTTTGCATAACAATGAGTAGAGCGTGAGTTTACAAATTTTTTCTCAACAGTCACAAATGTAAATGTGTATGAAGAGTATCCTTTTTGTAGGGTGGGTGTATTCGTTTTCACATGGCTACATGGAACTACCTAAGACTGGGTGCTTTGTAAAGAAAAAAAGATTTAATTGACTCACAGTTTTTCATGACTGGTGAGCCCTCAGGAAATTTACAATCATGGTGGAAGGTGAAGGAGAAGCAAGTACCTTCTTCACAAGGCGGCAGGAGGTGGGTGGGAGGATATTGCCAAATACTTTTAAACCATCAGATCTTGTGAGAACTCCCTCACGATCAAACAGCATGGGGGAAACCGCCCCCATGATCCCATCGCCTCCTCCCAAATCCCTCCCCAGATACAGGGTGATTATAACTGGAGATGAGATTTGGATGGTGACACAGAGCTAAAGCGTATCAGTGGGGAAGGAAAGGAGTAGGTGGGTTTGCCGGGGATACTTTGGGTTCAGAATCCTACAAGTAAGAATGGAGATTTATTTCTGATGGAGCAATCAACAGAGCCATGAAGATGTCCGTGGTGAGAAATGCAGGTGTCTCAAGTGGTGGTTTGTGTGGTTCCCACACATGGCCATGTTAGGAGCATATACACGGGTCGACAGATAGTAGTAAGTCCAAGTTCCTTGAGTCATTTATTGGGCTTTCTTCTTTTTGCATCCGTGCTTCTGTACCTGGTATTCTATGGTGAACACTGTGGCACAATAAGAAACACAGACATGGTCTCTGTCCCCCGGTTCCTGGCACAGAACTCCTAAAACCCTTGCAGTTATCTGAGTGATGGGGGTGAGAGAAGCAACTTACCCAGAGCTCCTAAATCCCTTCAAGTTTCCTGGGTGATGACAGCATCTTTGATTCTAATGAGGCAACTCTTGGTGGGCTCATGGAGAACTTCAAGATGGGGGCTGGCCACTGGGGAAAGACCAGCATGATTAGAAGCTTGGGACTTTCAGCTGTGCTTCTATCTTCTCAGGAAGGGAGGGGGGCTAGAGATTAACTTAATAATAATTGATCAAACCTATGTCATGAAGCCCCCATAAAGTCCCTGAACTATGAGATCCAGAGAAGTTCTGAGTTGATGAATGGCTCTGTGTGCTTGGAGGGTGGTGCATCCCAACTGCATGGGAATAGAAGCTTCTGTTTCCAGAACCCTTCTGGACCTTGCCCCACATATCTGTTCATCTGCCTGTTCATTATTACGTTGTACACTGCTGGCGGGAATGTAAACTAGTACAACCACTGTGGAAAACAGTATGGAGCTTCCTTGAAGGACTCAAAGCAGAACTACAGTTTGTTCCAGCAATCTCACTACCACGTATCTATCCAAAGGAGAAGTCCTTATAGGAATAGAATACTTGCACCTGCATGTTTATAACAGCACAATTCACAATTGCAAAAATATGGAACCCATCTAAATGTCCATCAATCAATGAGTGAATAAAGGAAATGTAGTGTACATACAGCACAGATTACTACTCAGCCATGAAAAGGAATGAAGCAATGACATTCACAGCAACCTAAATGGAATTGGAGACTATTACTAAGTGAAGGAACCCAGGAAGGCAAAATCAAATAACCAAATATCATATGTTCTCACTGATAGATGAGAGGAAAGCTATGAGGACATGAAGGCATGAGAATGATATAATGGACTTTGGGGATTCAGGGGGGAAGGGTGGGAGCGGGGTGTGGGATAAATGACTACATATTCGGTACAGTGTACACATTGGCTCACTACTCAGGTGATGGGCGCACCAAAATCTCAGAAGTCACCACTAAAGAATTTATCCATTGCAGCCAGAAAAAAGAATGGGTTAATGTCCTTTGCAGGGACATGGATGAACCTGAAAGCTGTCGTTCTCAGCAAACTGCAAACTAACACAGGAACAGAAAATCAAACACCACATGTTCTCATTCATAAGTGGGAGTTGAACAATGAGAGCACATGGACACAGGAAGGGGAACATCACACACGGGGGCCTGTCAGGAGGTTGGGGGCAAGGGGAGGGAGAGCATTAGGACAACCACCTGATGCATGTGGGGCTTAAAACCTAGATGATGGGTTGGTAGGTGCCACAAACCACCACCACGGCACAGGTATACCTATGTAACAAGCCTGCATGTTCTGCACATGTATCCCAGAACTTAAAATAAAAAATTTATCCATGTAACCAGAAACCGCCTGCTCTCTCAAAACAGCTGAAATAAAATGATAAAATAAATCTTTTATAATAAATCAACAAATGCAGTAAACGCATGTGAACCACGAAACTGGTATCCACAGTGTTGGAAATAGATGGTTTGTGCCACAAAGAAAAATCAGCACTGAGACAAAGGATTTTTCAGCAATGCAATTTTTACTTCCTGGGCTGCAGGAAGGGTACCCTCGCCAGCCATCTTGCTAGGGGAGTACAGTGAACAAAGGGAAACACACAAATTTATCCCTTATGCATTTGGGGTGTCCCTACTGCTGTGTCTGATCTCCGTTGCCTGGAGCCAGACCTCACAGTCTAAACTAAAACCCGATTGGCCTAACAACTTAAAACTTTTCTAAACAGGTAAAAGCAATGGAGAGCTGGGACGTGCCTGTGAGCACGTCCAGCACAGATATTTTGGCTAAAGTACAGGACATAGAATGTACTACGTGCCTGTAAGCATGGCATGTCTCACAGCTACATAGGATAAGGCTTAACAAAGTTATCTGCACACTTGAAAGGAAACTTTAAAAAGGAATTTTTCTGCTTCCCTTACACAGAGAACTGGAGAATTGCTGGATGTGGAAAACCCACACACATTTGGTGTCAGAAGTGTGCAGCAGAGGTTCAGCACGGACTCACTGTGACAACTTGCAGCAAGGTATTTAACTCTTCTGTGCCTCAGTTTCCTCATCTGTAAGGTGGGACAAGACTGCGTCTCACAGGGCTGTGATGAGGTTTACACAAATTAATACCTGTGAAGCCCTTAGATATTGATAGTACTGAAAGCAGACAGGGAGGGTCTCCAGGGACTTCAGTCGACCTGAGCAGTCAGCCTGTTTCACAGCCTCCTGCACGCCTAAACTCAGTGTAGAATGCAGCGACCTGGTTGGTTAAAACCAGCTCTTGGGCACAGCACGGTGGCTCATGCCTGTAATCCCTTTGGGAGGCTGAGGTGGGCGGATCACTTGAGGTCAGGAGTTTGAGACCAGCCTGGCCAACATGGCGAGACCCTGTCTCTACTAAAAATACAAAAATTAGCCGGGCGTGGTGGCGCACGTGTGTAATTACAGCTACTTGGGAGGCTTAGGCTGGAGGAATACTTGAACCCAAGAGATGGAAGTTGCAGTGAGCCACTGCACTTCAGCCTGGGCAATACAGTGAGACTATCTCAGAAACGCAAACAGCAGCAACAACAACAAAACAGCTCCTGACAGACCCCAGCAACTTAGAGATAAACCTAGGTGAACGTTCCCTGTGACCGTGCTGAAGTCCTCACCCTGGGAGGTGCCATAGCTCGGCTGCCATCACATGCGACCTATGTGCTGGCATGACGGATTTCGCACCTGCACCACTGGGACCCCTCCTCTCCTTGTGATGACGCACCCTCTGTCCCCCATCACCCCATAAAACCCTCCTGTCACTTTCCCTCTGGAGACGCTGCTTTAGAGAACACTCCCAGTGTCCTCCTTTTTTGTGACAAGTGACAAAAATCCTCTTAATCAAACCTGTGTTTTCATGGAGAGCTGTTTATTACTGGCCAGGCAAACAAACCCTGTTTTTTTTGTTTGGTGTTTTTTTTGTTTTGTTTTTTTTTTTTTTTTTTTTTTGAGATAGATTCTGACTCTATTACCCGGGCTTGAGTGCAGTGGCGTGATCTCGGCTCAGTGCAACCCCATCTCCCGGGTGGCTGGGACGACAGGTGCGCGCCACCACACCCAGCTAATTTTATGTATTTCTAGTAGAGATGGAGTGTCACTGTGTTAGCCAGGCTGGTCTCGATCTCCTGACCTTGTGATCCACCCACCTCGGCCTCCCAAAGTGTTGGGATTACAGGCGTGAGCCCACAAACCCTGTTTTTAAAGGGGTACAATGCGTGACATGTGGCACTTACTGATGTTAGCTTCCATGCTTAGATTCCAAGCTTCCTTTTTAGAGCTAGAGCTTCAACTCTGATACTTAGAAATACTGGGCGGCTCCCTGTAAAGTCACAAAAACTTACACTTCAAAGCAAGAAAGGAGCTGACATTGTAGTCCCTGTACCACATGGCAGGGCGTAGAGAGAGGCTTTACCTGTGCCATCTTATTTCCTTCTCACATCGAGGAGGTAAGTCCTACTGCAGCTGTCTGTGATGAGCAGCTCAGGCTTCAATAAATAAACCAAACCCTCCAGACCTCATTTTACTGAATGAGAAGCACAGAACGTCAAGGGTCTGTCCAAGGTCACAGGCACTACCAACCCATGTATTTAATTTTGCCATCCAGACCAATTTCCCAGGCCACCCTTTGGAAAATGGATCTATTGAAAGATAGTGGGGAGCAGGGAGGCCAGTTGGAAGAATGTTGGGGAATGTTCTCAGCTTCAGCCTTAAAGGACATCCCAGCCGGGTGTGGTGGCTCATGCCTGTAATCCCAGCACTTCGGGAGGCCAAGGCAGGCAGATGACTTGAGGTCAGGAGTTTAAGACCAGCCTGGCCAACATGACAAAACCCTGTTTCTACTAAAAACACAAAAAAATTAACCAGGTGTGGTGGTGCATGCCTGTCATCCCAGCTACTCGGGAGGCTGAGGCAGGAGAATCGCTTAAGCCCTGAGGTGAAGGTTGCAGTGAGCCGAGATCATGCCACTGCACTCCAGCCTAGGAGACAGAGCGAGACTCCATCTAAAAAAAAAGACATCCCTTTGGCACATTTCTACTATCCAAGATGAATGTCCTGTCTTCCCCACAGGACTCTGGCAAAACCTCCAGGCTAAGTGGATATCAGATGTTTGTGTGCACAATTCTCGTGTGTGTGTGTGTGTGTGTGTGTGTGTGTGTGAGAGAGAGAGAGAGAGAGAGAGAGAGAGAGAGAGAGAGAGGTGAAATATTAAAGAAGTGGTTCAGCTAAATAAAGGATCTCATTATGTGTGCTATTTTTATTCCTCAAATGTCTGCTGCCTTCTCCCCTCTTGAGGTTCCTACTGAAATCTGACAATCAGGGCTGAACTTCACTGTCAGCTTCCATTAAGCAAATCAAGCAGGAAAAAAAAAAGAGTATGAGTCTCGTTTTGGCAGGAAGCTGATTCAGCAGTGAGAATCTGCTTGTGCTGGAGGGGGCCAGATACCAAAGGGTTTAATTAGTCGGCCTAGGTGCTGTCTCTGGCCACAGTGCTCCCCACCCCTTCCCTCCATCCTCTAGCCTCGGAGACAAGTCTTTCCCTCCATCCCTAGCCTCTGAGATGAGTGCCTTTCCCTGCATCCCCTGCTTCTGATTCAGGGGAATGCCTTGGGAATGACAAGTACCCAAGGCCATGCCCAGCAGGCACCAGTTTGACCCTGTCAAGGGCATTTCCTCTGATGTGAATGGATGCACAAGCACTGGCTGTCTCCCTCCCCCCATCTCTTGGTTCTCGCAATATGAGCAAGACTTAACACCCTCCTGGGAAAATAAGGCTGCAGTGGAGTCAAAGCCGCAGTGATTTCTTTGCTGCAGAACCAATGAGAACTCCTTTCTGTTCCCTGATCTGGTCTCCATCTGACTTCCTTCATTAGGCATTCATTCATTCATTCAAAAACAATATCATGGCTTGGTGTAGTAGCTCACACCTGGAATCTCGGTACTTTGGAAGGCTGGAGTGGGAGGATCCCTTGAGGTCAGGAGTTTAAGACCAGTCTAGGCAGCATAGTGAGACCCCATCTCTATGAAAAATAAAATAAATTAGCTGGGCATAGCATTGTGTGCCTGTAGTCCCAGCTACTTGAGAGGCTGAAGTGGGAGGGTTGCTCGAGCCCAGGAGATTGAGGCTGCTGTGAGCTCTGATCACATCACTGCACTCTATCCTGGGCAACAAAGCAAGCCTCTGTCTCTAAAAAATAAAAATAAAAAAGAAGAGGAAGAAGAAGGAGAACTAGAGGGAGAAGGAGGAGGAGGAAGAAGAGAAGGAAAAAGAGGAAGGAGAAAAAGGGAGGAGGAGGAGGAGGAGGAAGCGGGGAGGTGGAAGAAGAGGAGGAGCAGGTGAAGGAAGAGAAGGAGGATGTGGAGGAAGAGGAGACAAGAATCACCGTGTCATTACGGTGTGAAGCGTTCTGGCCAGATTGTGGGCAAGATTCTGAAACGGGGTCTCTTCTCTTGATAAGTGTAGGATCTAGGAGATACTGAATGTAAAAAGGAGAAAGGGACCTAACACAGGCACTTCTGGTCTAGGAAAATTAACTGGGAAAATAAGACCAAAGAGAGCCAAAGTACAAGACAGAGGACCGTATTGCAATAAGGTAAGAGCTCTGGGAGCTTGGGGAGCTTGAAGGAAGATGACCCAGTTCCGAAAAAATAAAATAACACTTTGAGAAATGTCCTTGGAACTGGCTTTTAAAGATTGAGTAAGACATAATCAGGTAAAGAGAGGAAACTTCTGATCCCTCAGCCCCTCCTATGACTTCCACCTTTAGGTATCTCAGAGCAGCTCACGCTCCTGAATTTCTGGAGGTCACTGAAATTCCCTAGCTATCACTGATCCCACCCACCTCTTGCCACCTCCTAGCCTGAGCCACTGCTGCCTCTTCAGCTGCTCCAAGGTCACAGCTGGACGCTTCCACTGTGCCTTTCCGCTCTTCCTGTCCTCGCCAATGCATGATCTCATGGGACCTGCCTGTAAGGTCTTTTAGGCTGACTGATGGCACCATGGATGCATGGTAACCTCTGTGACCTGTACAGACACTCCAGATGAGTTCCTGGAACTAGAAAGTCTGGAAGACCACGAACAGGGGAAGAACGATCAACCCCTGCGGCACCTAATTTTAACTTGAGACGTTATTCTGTTGTTCCTTATTTCAGGGAACCTGGATGGTGTCTGCTAAAGGATTTGGACTTTAAATTAACATAGTAATGAATCATGCAGAGAAAAGAGCATAGTCGAATAGAATTCCAACTAGGCGACCAGTTGGCTGCTAGCCTCAATTTCGCTGTCTGTGAAATAGGGACAAGAGAACCATCTTATAGTGTGCTCATGAGGACAGGAGAAGCTCATGAGAAGTTTTTTGTTGTTGTTGATTGTGTGTGTGTGTGTGTGTGTTTCTTTTCTTTTCTTTTCGAGACAGAGTCTCACTCTGTTGCCTAGGCTGGAGTGCAGTAGCGTGATCTTGGCTCACTGCAACTTCTGCCTCCCAGGTTCAAGTGATTCTCCTGCCTCAACCTCCCGAGTAGCTGGGATTACACGCACCTGCCACCAAGCCCGGCTAATTTTTGTATTTTTGGTAGAGACGGGGCTTCACCATGTTGGCCAGGCTGGTCTTGAACTCCTGACCTCAAGTGAGCCACCTGTCTTGGCCTCCCAAAGTGCTTGGATTACAGGCATGAACCACTGCACCCAGCCATCATGTGAAGTTTTAAGGAAAAAAAAAGCATGTGAACTTGCGTGACACAGAGCAGATGAGTGACTAACGGACACCAGGCTTCAGTGGAGGATCTTAGCTCTCAGTAACCCAATCATGTAGGGGAGGGGAAGAACAAAACCCTCCAATAAATCCCTGCCTGTGTTCTGTGAGTAACCGCAGAACTTCAGGCACTAATCAGACAAGCCAGGCTCTGTTTGGTCTTTCATCTCAAATAAAAGTCTTCGACACAGGGATATCAGTATCACGTGACACTCCTCAGAAGTAAATTCGGCATTTGTGGGTAAATAGAA